GCTATCGCTACTCCTCCAGAGTGCCGCTGCTGAGTCCTGAAGACTACCTCCTGCCTTCTGCACGTGAAGTGCCTAGGAACTGCCTGCAGCCTGCAGGGCGGGTCAGCATTATATAGTGCTGGCCCGTCCGAGAGGCTGCTCGTGCCTATGCCAAAACGTGCCAGACCCTGGGGTTGACACTTCACAAAATAGGCCTTAAAGGCATGAGCTAAAACCCCGGTCTGGTGCCCGAGTGTCAAGGTAGATCAATCTTGCGAAGGCCTGAAAATGGCCCGTCGTTTTCAGGGTGAAGGCGGAAACGACACAGGGCCTGAAACAGGCCCCACCGCTACGGACCCTTAGTCTACCAGGTCGGGCTCTGCTGGGCCCGTGTGGTACGGAGTATGCCACACTCCCCCCTCCTTGAAAGACCGAGCTTACCTGCGAGGGCAAAGCTGTCTGGTGGAGGGAGGGTCTGAAGTCCGGGTGGGAGGCTGTGCAACTTCCGTCGCTAGTCGTTTCTTCTCATAATGAGCATAGATGTCAGGAGCGGAGGCTCGCAAAGCTGCCCGAGAAATCCATCGCGTGTCATCGGGGTCGCACCACTTGAATGTGACTTTGTACTACATAGGCTTGTTGTCGTGCTTCCGATGCGTGATGACGCGGTCGACTTCCTGATGACCATCCATGGAAGGAGGGCCCTCTGATCGTCGTCCCGGGAAGTCGTCGCTCTTGGCTGGTGTATATGTGGCCAGCTTGAAGGCGTGGAAAACCGGGTGCACCGTGAGATGCGGCGGGATTTCGATCACGAATGAAGGGCCATCGGGCTCATCACCCGTGGCTGATGTGATGGGCCATGGTCCAAACCACTTTGGAAGCAGCTTGCGGGATACATCCTGCTCGAGTGCAAACTCTTCCGTGGAGACCCAAACAAGGTCGCCGATGCGGATGGGGCATGGCACGCCACGCCTGTTAGCTTGCTGTTGCATGCGGACTTAAACCTTTTGCATGTTGGCGTGGGCTTTAGCCAGCAAGTCCCTATACTTCTGAATGGAGGCGGGCGAACAAGTGGCGTCAATGTCGGCAGTCCTTGGAAAAGGAAGACCGGCGAAGATGCTGCCCTTCCGGCGATCGTGGTGTAACTCGAACGGACTCATGCCGATCGCCGGGTGCACCGAAGTGTTGTAGGCGAATTCGATGTTGGGGAGGCGATCGAACCAATCCTTCTGATCCGTACAGAAGAGTGTGCGAAGCATTACTTGAGCGTTTTGATGTGCCCTCTTCGTCTGCCCGTCCGTTTGCGGATGCCGAGCCGAACTTGGTTTTATCTCGGTGCCGGACTCTTTCATGAGAGAGGTTTAAAATGCCGACATGAACCGAGTGTTGAGGTCGCTGACGATGTCTTCCGGAACGCCATGGCCGCAAATCCAGCTGGTGTGTAAGAGGCGTGCAAGTTTCGGAGCCGTGGCGTGGTACATGCAAGGAAGGAATCGTGCGTACTTGCTCAAACGGTCAACGACCGTAAGAATGTCGTCGTGCCCGAAGGGGTCCTGGGGGAACGGGCCAGTGACGTCCATGGCAATGGAGAGGCCGGGTTCCCGTGGAATAAGCAACGGGCGTAACTCACCGTAGGGGTTGCGATTGCGGGGTTTGCTTCGTCGGCAAACTTCGCAAGTGTCGCAATACCGAGTGACGTCGGTAATGAGATCGGGCCACCGGAATCGCTGCCGAAGTCGTGCGATCGTACGGTTGACTCCGAGGTGGCCGGTGAGTCTCGAGTCGTGGTAGCCGAGGAGACGATTCTGTAAGCGACGTCGTATGGGACGCATATTAAGTCCTAGGGACGCATAGTAAGTCCTTGCCTCGTGAGTGAAGCAGCTGGTAGCCATCGATGATGCGATAGTGGCTGGCGGGCGGGTGATCCGAGGATAGTTGCTCGTAGAGCGTGGCGTATTCTGGATCGGACTTGTATGCTCGCTCAAAATGCTGATGAAGGGCTTCGTCTAAACTGAACGCGTGGTGAGTCACAGCACAAAGATCTGATCTTCACGAGAGAGCATCCGGGGCTCGGTTGGAGAGGCCCGGAATGTGTTTCGGTGTGAAGTCAAACCGATCGATGAAGTACATTCACCAAGCAATCGTGCTGCTCACCGTGTCTTGCCTCTTGTAGTAGGTCAATGGGTTATTATCCGTCACCCAAGTGAACCTACAACGCACGAGGAGGAAGTGTCGCCAACGCCCGAGTACCATGACGAACGCGACCAACTCCTTCCGCGCATCATCAACCGACTTGATGGGAGGCACCTTTTGGCTGAAGTAGTCAACGGGGTGCCAATCTACTCCGCCGTGTTGTTCCAAAACTGCACCCATGCCGTAATCGAAAGCGTCCGTAGTCACTCTCGTAGGCAAGGTGGGATCGTAGATACTCAAGACGGGAGCGAGGAGCAATGTCGTCTTCAATTTGTGGAACGAACTGCGGACTTCGTCTGTGAACTGGAAGGGCACCAGTGGAGATTGCAATCTAGACAAAGGTGCGGCGATCCGTGAGTATCACCCGATGAAGCGTTGGTAGTACCCGACCAATCCCATAAAAGAGCGAACCTCCATGGTGTTGGTCGGTTCCGGCCAATCCTGAATGGCCTTGATCTTGTCCGCAAGCGGACTAATGCCTTGCGGCGTCACAAAGTGGCCCAAGTACTCGAGCTCTTGTTGTGCGAATTCGCACTTGGCTCGGTTGGCCTTGTACTTGGTCGTACGTAGCCTGTCCAAAACAACACGTAGATGCCCGATGTGCTCGTCCAAAGTTCGGCTATACACCAGGATATCATCAAGGTAGATGAGCACGAACCGGTCCAACATGTCGCGAAACTCCGTTGTCATTGCCGCTTGGAAGGTGGTCGGGGCATTCGTGAGGCCGAATGGCATTACGACCCACTCGAAGTGCACGTACCGTGTCTTGAACGCGGTTTTGTACCGATCTCTTGGATGGATCTCGAGCTGGTGGTAAGCGGATTTGAGGTCCAACTTGGAGAAATACTTGGCACCGCCGAAGCGTTCGAGAAGATCGTCGATGCGTGGGAGCAAGCCGACATTCTTAATGGTTTGAGCATTAAGCTTGCGATAGTCAATGCATAAGCGCAGCTCCTTGTTCTTCTTCCGAACGAAGAGAACAGGTGCACCGTAGGGCGAGCAGCTAGGGCGAATCCAACCTTTGTCAATGAGGTCGTCGAGTTGCGTTCGAAGCACTTCGAGTTCCTCCTGGCTCATGCGATAAATACATCCGCGCAGAGGTACGGCCCATCTTCGAGGATGATCTCGTGATATATTGGCCAATTCGGTATGATTCCGGCGAGGGCTTCAAAGACGTCGCCATAGGAGTCAAGAAGTTGTACAATGCGTGGGTCCGGTGGCTGTTCCGCCGCAGGCTCGTCGGCAGGAGGTAGGGCGTGCAAGAAATAAATGCCCATTTCCTCCACGTCGTTCCATGCGATGGAGTTGTAAATGCTCGCCGCGGAGACCACGTGATAACCAATCGAAGGATGAGGTGGGGGGACCGTACATGGCACAAGTACCCCGTTCCAGTCACGAACATGAACGGTGCAGCGGTAGAAGTTCACCGGGTGGTCCTCGCTGCGCAGCCATGACATGCCCAAGATCATGTCGAACTGTGTGTCTAATATGTCAAAGGACACGGCCTCGCGTGCAAGCGGGGTGAAGTACACTGGGACGGAGTCAATGCACCGGTCGATGGACTTGTGCGTACTACCGTCGGCCAACGTCACTTGCGTAGACTGCGATTTCCTTCGAACGCGCGGCCCAAGGTCGGCGTGGGTCATGAAATCCTGGCTGATGTAGTTGCGAGTAGCTCCACAATCGATCAAGGTGCTGCAGGCCGCCTTCCTGATCTGAATGCGGACGTAGAGTAACGGTGCGCCGGTGTCGTCGTACCTATGTGTGGCGTACTCGTGGTCAATCTTTGCAATGTACTCGCGAAGGTCAACAACCGCTACTCCGTCTTCCATCAACGGAGCTGGTACTGCAGCGTGCAAGTAGTTGCGTAGCTCCGCCATTAAGGCGTTGCAATGSGGCTTCGGCAAGGAACCAGATGGGGGAAGAGGCAACCATTGGAAGTCCTCCGGTGTCAATGGGTCGAGTTCCTCCAGTCTAGACAACACCGATGCGTCCCCGAGTGATGTCGGCGAGGATGCTGGTTTACTTGGCGATGGTGATGAAGTCGCACACGCAAATGTGTCTTGCACGTGGAGAGGTTGGTCCAATGGCGGGACCAGCTGGACAGCATGGTCTTCATAATCTTCGTGAAGACTGGCTACATACGCATGTTCCTCGGACGCGGAGGAGGTTGTTTGCAAGGCAATCGTGTCCGGCGGAGTGGGCAGTGGAGTCGCCTCACTTCCCGCGGAGCTCAGTTTCCCGAGCTTTGTCGTGGACGAACATCTTCTTTGCCTTTGTCGGGGCATTGTGACGTCGTGTGCTTGGTGCTGTTGCACCAGTTGCAACTGTTCCACCTCTAGCGGAGTTTGTATTGCTCCTCCGTGAGGTTGAACTTCTTCCATGGCTCGTTCGGTTGTCCGACTTCCGTTGTTGATGCAGATTTCAGCTTCTTCGTCTTCTTCTTCTTCTTCTTCTTCTTCTTCTTCTTGCGTCGTGGCGGAAGGGCGTTGACTCTGTCTCCTTCACTAGACTCGTGAGTCATCGATTGGTCGTTCTCTTGTCCATTTCCTTGGACAGCAGCGATTTTGCGGCCGCGGGCCTTTGCCCTTTTCCACAAAATTCAGTTGGCTTCGCCGCTCGTTGGCTGCCCAATGATTGGTTTGGATGACTTCGCGCGCCTTCTCCACGATCTGGTCAAAGTCTGTGTACAAGCTGCGCTCCCCAAGGGTCGTGCTCAACGCGTCAACCGACTGCTGGAAGAATTCGCGACGAAGATAACCGAACGGTATGTCCAGATTCGAAATCGTCACGATTTTCTGCCACTCGGTTAGCCATTCGCGTGTTGGCTGGCTGCCTTGATGCATGCTGAAGATCCGGTTTACGCCTTTGCCTTGAGCGTTGTCGACGATGAAGTGTTTCCGCCACTTCTCAGTCATGGCCTCCCAAGTGATGTTGGTGTGTGAATCTTAGAGACTTCGACGCCTTCGGTTTGAGCCAGGTGATTTAGCCACACTTGGCTGGCAGCGGTGCTGCAGCGGTAAAGCGCTGAGATCTTCGACTCGGGCGGGACCAAGTGGATGGAGAGCTCATTGGTGAACCCTTGCCACCAACTTATGGGGGCCGCCTTGTGGTAGTCGTCAAACCTCTCGATGCTGAACTTCAGCATCTTGAATTGTTTCGGCGTTACGCTGTTGCAGGTCCCAGTTGGTTGCTGCTGCAGTTGACGCAAATCCGCTTGTAGAGCGGATATTTGCTGCCTGATGGTCGTCGGTTGTCGGAAGCTGTTCAAATCGCCGACAAGCGCGACTAGGTGATCCAGCCGTCCTTCCAGCTCGCGGATCGATGGATCAGTGCTTGACGATGCCGTGTGCCTGTGCAGCACGTCATCCTTCTTCAACATGTCCAGGCGGGCGTGGAGGCTTTTAAGAGTCTCCTCGTACTCAGTAATGGTACGTGCCTGCCGGGCCTGCTCCACTTGTTGCCAGTTACAAGTGAGGATGACTTGGTGCATCATGCTGGCGAGAGCTGACTTCGTCTGGTGCTTCGTAGTTGGTTCCGTCGTTTCCTCCGGATCCACATGCCATGCTTGCAGTGCGGCGGTATGAGTGGCTTCCTGCTGCATGAGGACAGACGCGGCATCTTTTCTAGCTTTGTTGTGGTTGGCTGCTGCCGGCGCCGTTGCTCTTCTGCGTGTGCAATCACATTGAGACGTGCCTCTTCGGCTGCCGCCTCACGTTGCTGTTCCTCTTGGATTTGTTGCATGTAAGTGCCCAGGCGGGCCAGGAAGGCTGTCATGGTCTCTCCTTTCTGCCGGACTGGTGCAGCGTCGAGGGTTTCCGCAGAAGTTGCAGTGGAACCCTCCTGCTGGGCCTGTGGGGCCGGGGGGCTCGAGCTGCATGCCTCACGTGGTCTGTCGGATGCAGCATTGTCCACCATGGGGGCGTCCATCTCAGAGGGGTGGGGCAGAGGTAGCTGCTGTTCTGCTGCGGCTGCCCGCCCGTCACGTGCGGCGATGCGGTTGCTGCGTCGGAGCATAAGCTGCAGTTAGTTGTATTGTGTTGCGGTATTGCTGATGTGGCCCTGCTGACGTAGTCTGCTGACGTAAACTGCTGGGATGGTACTGCTAACGTAATCTGCTGGGATGGTATTGCTGATGTGGCACTTACCAAGCCGAGAAAACAGCCAAGGGGGTGGGTAGGTGGGAAACACAGGCAACCCACCAAACTGCTGCAACGAAAATAAGTAACAGCGAGATGACAATTCCAGATCACACCATCACATTGAAAACCAAATAGTCACATTGTGTCCAGAGAGAAGCAATGCACCAATAATACACCAATGGAGGTTCGTAGCATTGAAAATGTACCAATAATCCCCCCAACACAAGAGTCCACTTCCTTCACACTCACACTTGGCGCTCAGCGCCCAGCCTACTCCTACACAGCTACCACAGACTGCAAAAAGACAATGCAACTGTTGACATCAGCGGCAGCCCGAAGTACTTGAAGATGTCGCCCATGCAGACTATCGCCAATACAAGGTACGTGCCCTCACATCATCATCATCATCATCATCCTTCACCTATTCCCTTACTACACCACACGTGTCCTCTCTTTGACCCGAAGACCACCCCTGCGCTTCACTGTAGTCCAAGCCCACCAGCTATGGTGGCTGGGCTATGGCGCTGCCCTCAGCAGCGCCCTCCCCCTCTGCACGACCGCACGTGCTGCACCTTGCCTCTCAGCGCTGGCAGCAGCCTACGAGCATGAGCTCCAGCAACGCTGCCGCCCAACATGCGAGTGCCTGAATGAGGCAGCCAGGGCCGAGCTCTTTCCTTTATGGGAAGAGTTGGCCTGCTCTCGCAGCCTGGCTGCCCTGGCCTGGGCCCAGAATCTTCTGGAAGGCCCCCGGAGGCTGCCTGGATGCAGCAGCTACTGGGCTGCTGGGCCTCGTTCGGTTGGGCGCCCAACTGTCTCTGTAGGAGGCTGTGAATCACGCCCAGGGCCTGCATTCTTTGGAAAGGCCCGGTAGGCGGTGGAAATGTCTTTGTTGCTCGGCCTGTTGCTCGGCCTGATTTCTTTCAACCAACTAGCGCGTCGCAACTGCCTGGATCCCAAATATGAAAGATAGTCGAGGGCCTCTTGCAAAAAGTCAGGCCCGCCTTCACTTAGGGCGGGCACCTCCGCCTTCACTTAGGGCGGGTAAGGCTGCAAACAGGGCCCCATAGGCCTACCGAGGACCTGATCCTCGCATTCCCTCCTCCTTTACTTCGTGAGTCCTCTGAGAAGTCTCTCATTCTGCAGGCATCTTCCCCTTGAGTGCTCTTTCATAGCCTGCGATGACTTGAGGTGCTGTTCTCATGAGTTTTTTTCGTGTGAACCATCGGTCTTCTTTAGGATCCAGATGATGTCTGAAGCTCACAAGATATTGCCTTCTTGGTTTAGGAGGTCGCCCTCTGCCTGATGGTCGAGGAACAGGCATCACTCGATGCTCAATGATCTGGTCAATGTCCACTTCGCCATCCATGGTTGGGGGCAGCATTGATCTTCTGGAAGGAAACTGCTCAGTTGCAGCGAAAGGGGCCAGCTTGGAGGCATGAAACACTGGGTAGGTGCGCAGGTGTGCAGGAATACGGATCACGTATGAAGGCCCATCCGGTTGATCCCCTACAACGTCCAAAATCTCCCAGGGCCCGAAATACTGTGGCATCAGTTTTCTGGATATCCCCAACTCGTGACCTAAATCAAATGACTTTACCGAGACTCGTTCACCTACCTGAAAGTTAATGGCCGTTTGTGCTTATTCTCAGATGCAATCATAGCATCTTGAGACTTCCTAATATGTTCAACGGCCTGCTGCAGCATCTGTTCATATTGGACAGCAAACTCTATGCTGCCAGGTGCTGCAGTGGAGTGTCTTTCTGGTAGCAGAAAGTCCAGTGCACTTCTGGGCTTCCAACCAAGATGTAATTGGTTGGGAGTCATACCGGTTGTACTGTGCACAGCATTGTTGTACAAGCTGGCGACGAGAGGTAACTTCTCGTCCCAGTCATCCTGACTTGGCTTAATGTAATGCCGAAGCAGGTGCTGTACTACCCGGTTCATCTGTTCTGCTTGGCCATTTGACTCAAGGTGATTCCCTGAAGTCATTTGGAGTTTGGTGCCCATCTGTTCAGCAGTTGACTGCCATAGTTCACTTGTGAATCTCACATCCCTATCGCTAACGATGGATGTAGGCAAACCAAAATCCCGTACCCAATTATCCATAAACAGTTTGATGACGTAGTCAATTTTAGCTGTTTCTGGCATGGCAATCAGTCTTGCGCACTTAGTAAAACGGTCCACTATAACAAAGATATGCCTGTTTCCAGACTTGCTGGTCACAAGGGTGTCCATGAAATCCATAGACACTCTGACCTGGTCCTTCAGGAATCGGCAAGGGCTTGATAAACCAAAGCGGAGCCTGAGTCCTTGGTTTGTCTCTTTGACAGACCTGGCAGGTTTCGACGTATTGCTTGACATCTTTCATGATAGAGGGCCACCAAAACTTCTGTACTAGATTGGCTGATGTCTTTTTATACCCAAAATGACCAGTTGCATCATGACATTCGCCTAAAAATAAACTACGTAAAGATTCACTATTAGGAACACACAACCTTTTATTCCCTGCCTTCTCAAGGAATAGCAAGCCATCTACCATCGTAAATTCATCCGAAGTCTTCTTGTCCTTTGCTTGGAATCTACGGATGATTTCTGACATGACTGCGTCTCCCTGATAGGCTTCCACCAGCGATCGAGTAAGTTCGTCAGATATGCCAAACTCAGTGACTAGCGCGCCCAGGTAATCTGCCCTTCTTGAAAGCGCATCAGCCACCTTGTTGTACGTACCCTTGATAGGATCAAGTTGATAGTCGTACATGTCTATCACTTGGATCCATCTCTTGAATGTGTCTGACAACACAGGCTGTGTCAATCCAGCGCAAAGTCTCATGGTCAGACCTCACATAGAAGAATCTTCCTAGGAGGTAGTGTCTCCAATGGACTAACGCTCTGTATAGGGCGTAGAGCTCTCTCTCATACGTGGCCTTAGCTAACTTTTGAGATGGCATCTTCTTGCTCATATACTCGATCGGTCTCAACTTGGGCCCTTCCTGTTGTGCAACGACCGCGCCTATGCCATATTGGTTGGCGTTTGTGGTCACAACAAACGGCTTGTCAGGATCAGGAAGTTTGAGAACTTCATAGTGTGTCAGAGCATACTTGAATTTCTTGAAGCTTGCCTCACACTCTTCAGTCCACTCCCAAGGGGTGTCAAGTCGAGTTAGATCTGTTAATGGGGAAGCTATGGTACTATAGTTCTTCACAAACGGACGATAATAGCCCGTCATCCCCAAAAACGATCTGACCTCAGTAACAGTCAGAGGTCTAGGCCAGTCACGTATGCTGGCCACCTTCGCATCTTCCGGCCTCAATCCATCTGTCGAGATTTCATGACCCAAGTACAAGATCTTGGTGCGTCCAAACTCACATTTATCCAAGTTAAGCTTGTACAAGTGCTATCTTAGGAGACCTAGCACTGTTTTCAAGTGCTCAACGTGCTCCTCTACAGTCCTACTAAAGATGAGAATATTGTCGAGGTACACGACGATAAACTTGTCCAAGTAGTCATGAAAAATCCTATTCATCGCGTGCTGGAACGTAGTAGAAGCATTGCAAATGGCAGTTTGTCGCTAACCAGGAAGGAGATTTTATGACTCACTTCCCCTCCTTCATAGGAGAAGGTGCAGACTACGTCCTCGACATAGTCTATCACCAACATTTGGTGCTTGTTGGCTAGCGTAGAAACTACAGTTCTGCTAAGCCGCTGCACTTGGGCCCCTAAGCGCAGTCTATCCACGCAAACACGACTGATGAAATTCTGTGTAGAGCGTATGTTTGCGAAGGCGCCAACCTTGCGGCCACCTACATTTACTTCTACCACGAAATGTTCACCCTTTGGACCTGTACTGATCATCGCCCAAGAATCCTAGGGGTCCTTCGTTGACCACTCAGTCTCTAATTCTTCTAGAGCCTCAGACACATCTCTCAAACAGAGCGTGGGTGGGTCCGAATGTGTCTGCGGGCGATGCGTGGGTCACTAGCCTTGGCCAACGCCTGAAGTGGGGAAGGCAACGTTACCACTTCAGCACGAGTGAGAGCGGCTAACACTCCGACTGGCCCGAGGTGTTTCCCTGTGAGCTGCTCGCAGAAGCACTCCCACCACCGTTGGTGACGCTACCTTCGTTGTGACCTTCTTGCCACGACAATTATTGGACGTGTGGCCATAGTTGCCATAGTTCCTGCATGTACCCCTAGCAACGCGGTCACGCCACACCTCGTAATCTAAACCAAGCTTTACCCATGCGGGTGTCCCGTGGTCGCCCTGACCCGTGGACCGTCCTACCTTCTTCTTCTCGGTCCCCCTAGCCTTTTCCTTGATAGGTGCCACGACTCCCCCATCCGAAGTCTCGCTGGCCCCATCCTGCTCTGTCAACTCCCCAAGGTCTGGGAAATCGTCAATCTCAGTCGTTTGACCATCATGGTCAACGAACATTAATTGACCCTTCTTCTTCCAGTCTTGGGGCAGTCTCTTCCTACCATCATGGGATACCTTATGCGCAGATCCCAGCTTTGCCTCTATGTCCAGAGCTTTCTTGCTAAAAGAAGCGAAAGTGTGTTGTTCGACGTAGGCCTTGTCAACCAGCTTGGTCCTTACCTCTGCAGGTAGGCACCTTAGGTAATCCGTTAGGAGAACCTGCTGGTCAAAACACACACCAGGTACCACGAGGAGGCGTTCTACGGTGTCCGTAAGCTCTCTAACATCCTGCGGGAACAAAGGTTGTTGATAGCATCGGTGCCCTTTTGAGCCCCTTGCGGGTCATGCCACCTGTTGTAGACTGACCGTACGAACTGTTCTAATGTCTGAGCCTGAGCCCAGGCATCGAAATCCTGACCGTAGCCCTGTTGCTGCACTAAGCGATTCAACCAGCGGGCTGCTGATCCCTCTAAAAAGGATGCATCCACTACAAGTTCTGGTCTTGTGAGCTTGTGCCTTACATAAGTAGGCACAGTCCTCACCCAGGTGTCCCTCCTCCTTTCTATCTCCAGAGAAGGGCTTGGGACTCATCAGAGGTATCTTAGGCATCCATTGCATAGGCTGCATGGGCCCAGGGGCTTGCTGCAGCGGCTGCATAGCCACTGAAACAGGCTGTTGCACACTAACCTGGGCCTGGCTTGACAGTTGGACTGTAGTTACCACCGCCGTGGATGGTACGGCTGAGACTCTTGGAACCGGACCACTAGTTGCTACCAAACCACCAGGAGGGGCATGCCAAACATAGGAGAGAAAGTTTGCCCTGTGCGTTGCGGCATCAATGATGGACCCTCACCTACAGGGGGAACTACAGCAAACTGTGGCTGCCTCACCATTGTGCGAGGAGCCCGAATTTCAGCCAGAATTTGTTTCTGGCCTGCAAAACTTCCTGCATTCTACTCTCTAGTCTAGCCTTCCTAAGTATGGCTTTTCTTTTCCTCTCCGCTGCCTCGTCCAACTGCCGCTGTAGCTCATCCTGAAGTTCTTTTGCTTGGCGGATTTCTAACTCGCACGGCAGCAATCTGACCAATGGGAACCTGAGAGCCACTTTGACAGACTCCTGAAGAAGTGGACTGTGTAGAGACTTGAGACATGGCAGAGGTTGCCATGGTTGCACCTGTACTAGCTGAGACACTAGTCTTGGCACTATCCTCAGCTGCCCTCGCTCTCCTTGCCGCTGTTCTCTCTCTAGCCTCCCTCCTCAATCTTCTCTCGTCTCTTGGACCCAACTCCAAGAATGTCAAGGGTCGACTACGAACAGTCCCGCGAGTAGTCCTACGGTCGTCCACTAACAACTCCTCCTCACTAGTGCTTGCATCACTCATGAGCTACAGTGTGTGTGATCTTAACTAGAATCCACACTGAATCCTACCTTAGCCTGACACACAACCGATTATGAAACACAACTAATTTCGGTCGGATGGAACAGAAACAGTTAGGTGATATATTAACAACTAATTTCAGGTCCTACAGGATATATTAATTCTATTTTTAGATTACCCTGGAACGGATTGTACTACAGCAAATATCTAATCTGTCTGTAGCTGTCTGTCAGTTGTTAGCGAAGTCTGTCACTACTAGATAAATAACATCTCCTGTTGGAGATGTATACTGGATGGCAGATTGATAGTTGATTGCCACTGTGAACAGCTAGCGGAATCCCCCCTCCCCCTGTATCCTTCTTGATTGGTCACTTTGTGTCAACGTTCCTGAACATCTGGTTGAGCAGCGTGTCTGAAGGTGTGCAATCCGGCCCACCCCTGTGCCCCAAGTCATTGCCGAACAAGCCAGCCAGTCCACTCTTATTTACCCTCGTACGGAACGAGCCTTACACCCGGTTGATCTGGCTGATCAAGAGGAATTTTAGGAGAGCCCCCATCTCCTCAGGAGTTATTTAACGTCGCAGTCAGGACGACGATCACAGCCATATTCTCCGAGTCCCCAACCAGAAATGTTTATAGACGGTCTGGTAAGCGTCTCATAAAAGGCTGACATGCCCGGCACGACCTCTATTGCGCAAGCAGCAGAACCAAGGACTTGCAGCCCAAGCATGCGTGTACTAGTCCCAGCGGGTTGGCATGGTGACCGTGACCCGAGTGCTTCGTCCAGGGCCCTTCAGAGGCTTCGCCCGTCTCCCACCAGCKTGCTGMCCRGGAAGAATGTCGACTCTCAAGGTTGAGCGCTCGCGACACCTCACATCGAGAGGACTCTCAAGACAGAACTCACTTCCTCACGGTAAGAAGAGATGAAGAGGGTAAATAAGGAAGAGAGCAACGTACCTCATAAATGCTGCCCCCAACCACAGATTTCTCACCGGTAACCTGACCGGTCCTTGCCTCAGTTGCACCTGGTGAGGATTCCGGATCCTAATTGCCTTCCTGCTGTCTGGACCTTCTATGTTCTTGCTCGGGACTGTCCTTTTCTGCCTTAGTGCGATGCGTTTGCTTAGTGATGGGGTCTGGAGCGATTTAAGTGCTGGCGGTTCCACTTCGGCTTAGTATGCCACATCATCGAGTTCTCATCATCCAGCATACACCCCGTATGTCACCACATAGCTCCCTGGCGCGCCCACACTACCCTGGGCCGCCCAAGTTCAACGCCAATGCCTTATCACTGCCCCACACCTCATGCGAAGCACCAATAGCTATTGCGAAGAACCAATGAAGCGCAATATGAACCAGCTCTGATACCAAATTGCAAGGAAAATAAGTAACAGCGAGATGACAATTCCAGATCACACCATCACATTGAAAGCCAAATAGTCACACTGTGTCCAGAAAGCAGCAATGCACCAATAATACACCAATGGAGGTTCGTAGCACTGAAGACCAATGTTCATGGAGAGCACACTCTCTCCTTCCAACACAGAGTCCAGTTCCTTCACACTCACACTTGGCGCTCAGCGCCCAGCCTACTCCTACACAGCTACTACAGACTACAAAAAGACAATGCAACTGTTGACATCAGCGGCAGCCCGAAGTACTTGAAGATGTCGCCCATGCAGACTATCGCCAATACAAGGGACGTGCCCTCACATCATCATCATCATCATCATCATCCTTCACCTATTCCCTGACTACACCACACCTGTCCTCTCTTTGACCCGAAGACCACCCCTGCGCTTCACTGTAGTCCAAGCCCACCAGCTATGGTGGCTGGGCCATGGCGCTGCCCTCAGCAGCGCCCTCCCCCTCTGCACGACCGCACATGCTGCACCTCGCCTCTCAGCGCTGGCAGCAGCCTACGAGCATGAGCTCCAGCAGCGCTGCCGCCCAGCATGCGAGTGCCTGAATGAGGCAGCCAGGGCTGGTCATAAATTTTCGGCAGCAGCCTACGAGCATGAGCTCCAGCAGCGCTCCCCCTCTGCACGACCGCACATGCTGCACCTCGCCTCTCAGCGCTGGCAGCAGCCTACGAGTATGAGCTCCAGCAGCGCTGGTCATAAATTTTCGGATATTTGTTGCATGAAAACGAAATGCCAATATCAGAAATTTTACGAAATGCTAATATCAGAAATTTTCGGATATTTATTGCGTGAAAACGAACTGCCAATATCAGAAATTTCCTGAGATGCTAATATCAGAATTTTTTCGGATATTTATTCCGTGAAAACGAAATGCCAATATCAGAAATTTCCCGAAATGCTAATATCAGAATTTTTTGGATATTTTCTGCGTGAAAACGAAATGCTAATATCCGAAGTTGCGAAAGGAGAAAAAAAAAAAAAAAAAAAGAAACGAAAAAGAAAGAAAAAAAGATTTGCAGAGATTTTGACGAAACCCTACTTGATTCATTAATCAATCAATCAGTCAATCAATCAATCAATCAATCAGTCAATCAATCAATCAATCAATCAGTAGATCCAGCGAGCTGGCTACTTGATTGGGCGGATCTTGATGAAAAAGATCCGCTCCGATACCAAACTGTTGCATACCATAACGGTGCAGACCAGACCAAGAAGCGATCTTTCTCGCCAGATACAAGATTGCACAACGGAAGGCTTGAATAGCAGTGATCCGATCAATCAAGCTGACATGCAGACCAAACATGCATCATCATGATTCCATGGTGTGAAAGGGGGCTGACGCGCACACAGGAAGAATGCGTCAGTTCCCCGATCATACTCAGACGAAGAAAAGGGGGATGAGACGAAGGGGAGGGAGAAGATGGAAATGTCGTCAACACCAAGTCTTCGATACAGTCCCAAATAATCCCTCGCCAGAGTTCTAAATCCCGATGTTGAGTCTGAACCCCAATGTCGTCAAATCCCATGTCGCCCATCTCTCTCTCTCTCTCTCTCTCTCTCTCTCTCTCTCTCTTAGCCCGTAGATGCAGAGAAGTCAGGGGGCGAGAGGGTGAGGTAAAGATGATGGACTTAGAGGAGGAAGAAGAAGAACTCTCTCTCTCTCTCTCTCTCGCTCTCTCTCTCTCTCTCTCTCTCTCTCTCGGATACCAACCTGTGATGGTGGCACCTTGCTGTAGGTACATCGAAGACGAAGCTGGAGCTATGGCGCCGCAGGTGAGTATCCCTGGCCTCCGCCAACCATCTCTCTCTCTCTCTCTTCTAGTAGCGCCCAGCGCTGAAGACTACTGCTATCGCTACTCCTCCAGAGTGCCGCTGCTGAGTCCTGAAGACTACCTCCTGCCTTCTGCACGTGAAGTGCCTAGGAACTGCCTGCAGCCTGCAAGGCGGGTCAACATTATATAGTGCTGGCCCGTCCGAGCGGCTGGTCGTGCCTATGCCAAAAACGTGCCAGACCTTGGGGTTGACACTCCACAAAATAGGCCTTCAAGGCCTGAGCTAAAACCCCGGTCTGGTGCCCGAGTGTCAGGGTAGGTCGATTTTGCGAGGGCCTGAAAATGGCCCGTCGTTTTCAGGCTGGAGGCCGAAACGACATAGGGCCTGAAACAGGCCGTACCCCTACGAACCCTTAGTCTACCAGGTCGGGCTCTGCTGGGCCCGTTTTCGAGTGCATCGGTCTCGCACTGGGACCCTCCCGGCCGCGTCACGCAGGATTTTGCAGGACTTGTCGCCGAGTGCGCCAGCCGTACCTCTCGCGAGCCCCTACGACAGGACAGGGTCACGCGAGGCACCGCTTACCTCCACCTGCGGGAGCTGTCACCATCCCTTAGGTGGGCGTATCCCTGCCGAGCTACTGAACCACATGCGAAAGCTTTTTGTATGCAAATGACGTGCTGGGGGGCTGAGGTCCCAAACGTGACTCGGCGCCGGTCGACTAGGACGCATCACACACACCACGCGTTACACCACAACACTGACATCTACCTATATATACCACATGGAAAAACACAAAACAAACACCTCAAACAACATCACAACACTCCTAGTCCCTTCAGTATCCGACCCATAACGTTATGCCGCGAGAATCAGATAGTTATGGCGCGCTGGTTTTTTGTATGAGAGTCGAGCGAGTGCATGGCCCCTTTATATCGACCAACCATGTTGGCATTCGCGAGCATTCGTGCTGATGGGGTACTGCGAGGTACTCGTAACTGCGCGGCCCTTAATAATTTCGAGGGTCGTGCTCGACACGCAAGTGTCGGCTGACAAGCGCGTTGAGGGGTTACCTTCTTGGCGCTAGACAACCGCCATGCGCGGTTGACGACCACACCCTCTTCTGCACCTTGTGCTTCAGGGCTGTCGTGAGCCAATCTCAAGGGGTTTGACTTTGACGGTTACCACAGACTACAACGTCCAACCATGAAAACTTTAAGGACGAAACAACTGCAGATAGTCTGATAGTCGTTCCAATGTGAAAGATGCGTGCGGATGATGCCCAAACTGAGACCCATCGGCAACCCGATGTTTGAGACGTTGGAGGCTCGTACTCGGGTCCCTGTAGGCCGACTAGGGCTTATTCCCTCGCTCCCGCGTCGTTTCGTGCTGACGAAGCTTGGGTCTACTGGCCATAACGCGCTTTTGCCCTCTTTGCTTGACCCATAACTTTCGAGTGCGTAAATTGGTAAGTGTCGCGCGTGTGGGTTAACGTAAGACCGTGCGGACGCAGGGCCTACGCATAACGACCAACAATGCGGATTTGCGTAAGCAGTCGTGATGTCGACGCATTACGTGGTGCCCATACCCGAGTGGCCTCATTTGAGCCATGAGGTCGCTCTCGACGCTCAGGCGTTGGTTGAAGCGCGCGCTAAGGGGGGTAAACCTTTAGCGAGCGCAAAACCGGTATGAGGGCCTTACCATCTTCTGCACACTGAGGTGCCCCAAAG